GGGGGGGTCGGTCTAAAGGGGGCGAAAAATCCGTGGTTTTACATTAAACATGCCTAAAAAAAATCCATCCATCCCCCCTTCAAAAAATGGAAACCCCTTTCATTACTACAATTTAAGTTGGTTTGCAGACGGACTTAATGTATATAAACACAAAATAGAAAAGTCTAAATTGCCAAAATAGGGAGGAGGGTTGCAAGCATACAAACTGAAATATTTAAACAACTCCAGCGCCATTTTATTTATTTCCAGCTCTGTATTGTAGACGGGTATTTATGAACTTTTAATGTTTCGCATTTTTTCATTTAATCAAAGTTTAGTTTGTGTGTACATTTCAAACTGAGAACTGTACACTGCATCACTGTACAGTACAGTCCGCACAGTGTACAGTCTATTTAAGATCCGTACTTTTAAATTATACAAGAGCTACTTGCATCAAGCTCTTTTATAATATGTAAATAAATGTGTGTTGATCATTTGAAAAATTTTGAAATGAAAAAACGTTCTGTGTGTGTATGATACAAAAATGTAATTACGTAAAATCTACGTTTCGTCTTAAACTTGTCCTTTTATTTTATTTTACTACTTTAGCTGTCTTGATTCCTTACAGGGGTCCTTGTCATAAATTCCTAGTTTATTTTTCAAAGATTGGCTGAAGAGCCTGAACTGATAAAAACCAGATTTTCATTTAAAATTTGAACTTGACCTAAAATTGTTTTGACACATTTATCAAAAATTCTAATTTTAAAAATCCCCCAAAACATATTTGGTTTAATCAAAACTGGATATAAACTTTTTCCAACATTCAAAAGAATTATAAATTATTTCAAGACTACATACAAAATTTTAAAATATACTTAAACATTGAACATAGATTTATACTTGCAATGACATCTAATGTTTTTCGTTTTTTTTTATAAATCTTATAGTTGTGAAGCAAAGCATTATTTCGAACACATTTTTTAAAAAGTTTAAAAACTAACCTTGACTAGATTCTCCTGGGAGCGCGCGAGCGCGTTAGAATAAGAATTCTTCCTCTCCCGTCCATCCTTTAGGTTCACCTACGTGCATAAAACAATTAAATAAACGCGCGTTAATAGAATCCAATCATTAATATTGTTCGAACACATTTAACCAATATTTCTTCACCTAAAAAAAATATTAAGACCCAAGAAGTATTAATAAAAAGGGGGTACAAAGATCATTAAACAAAAGTTTTCAGAAAAATGCTACATAGAACATAATAAACTAGTTTCTTTAAATGTAAATTATCAATTCACAGTCTGAGATTCCAATAATAATAATAATTAAGTAAACATGCAATATCCTAAATGTTTGCATAATGATATTTTAAAACATGGTTTAAGATAACAAGGAACCCAAATTTAATTTTAAATGGTTTGTAAGGTGTCCAATTGTTTGGTTAAAAGGGGTGAGGGGGAGGGGGTCTTGGATTCATGTTTTCAAAGTTAGCATGTATGTTTAAAACTGTGTCTGTTGTCTAACAAAAAAAACTGGAATTGCTTGAAGCCAAAGATGGGAAGATAATAGATAAACATATATAGGGGGTTAATAGGCTGATAGATCGGGGGCTTGATAGACATAGGTTATTCAGATAAATAGATGGATAGATGGATAGATGGATAGAAATATTAAACACTTAAAAATCTGACCTGAGTTATTGCTCGTCTTCCTAATCCAGGTTTCCGTCCTGCAGTCTTCCGGGGGGATTCCTAGGTAGGAAGGTAGATATTTAGGTAGGTATGTAGGTAGGTAGGAAGGTATGTAGGTAGGTAGGTAGGTAGGTAGATAGATTGGTAGGTAGGTAGGTAGGTAGGTATGTAGGTAGGTATGTAGGTAGGAAGGTATGTAGGTATGTAGGTATGTAGATAGATAGGTAGGTAGGTAGGTAGGTAGGTAGGTAGGTAGGTAGGTAGGTAGGTAGGTAGGTAGGTAGGTAAGTAGGTAGGTAATGGAAAGGTAGATAACTAGGAAAGGTAGGTTTGTAGGTAGTTAGATAGGTAGGTAGGTAGGTAGGCAGGCAGGGGTAGATAAATTAAGCATTCATTAAATAAATGAATAGATGAATACAAGAATGAATGAAAGGATGAATGGAAGGATGAATACAAGAATGAATACATGAATGGCATTTAATGTTTTATTTTCAAGTTTTAAAAACTTTACTTGGACCATTCTTTAGATCTAGTTAGTTAGATAGATATATAGACACACAAAGATAGATAATACAGATTAACAATGGTTGAATAAAGTGCAAAAAAGTGTCTGAGCAGGGTTTAGTGAAGAATGACAACAATTGTTCATGGGCAAATTTGGGAGGGGACTCTGGAAGGGATGTCTTTGGAATTTTTACCGGAATATTTTATTCCTTTTTTTAGTTTTTGATAGACTAGTTCCAGAGCGGAGAACAATTATAAAAGATTGATAAAAAAAAAACGGTTGAATTGATGAATAAGTGAATGAATGTGTAGTGAGCGTAAGTTCTATCAATCAAACATAATTGGGTATTGTGTGATCTGAACAAAAACCACCACCTCCCCCCCCTCTTGCCTCAAAAACGTCCAAACAGTCGGTAAAAGTTCAGGGTTTTCTGGCTCATTGTTCAGCAATATTTTAGTAGAATTTNGTGTTTACAATTCATGCTACATTTTTTATCTTTCTTGACTCATCAAGAATTGTTTACTAATGGAAGGTATAGTCAGTGTAAACTAAATACTAAAAATACAAATATTCAGAATACAAACAAAGAAAACTAAAAAAGAGATTGAAAGATTAATAAAATTCTAAAAATCTAAGTTCTAACTTAGAAAAACATGTTTAAATGTCAATTGAATGCTGGCATCAATGCAAATAGACCCAGTAGCCCTTGTCAGTTATAAAAGGAAAAGTTTAAAAACATCGAATTTAAGACACCTGTCATATCTACCCCCCACCCTTCCCCCATTCTCAATTACAAAGCTGATTGTAACTGGATATAAAGCAAAATTCCGTTTGCAACTGCCCTGATATAATAAACGGTTTTGCACGTGCTAAAATTAATTTGTGAGAAATGAGCTCACACTAGGTGTGATCACGTACACTCCCGTCATTTTCATTTTTTCAAGTTGGTAGATTTCTTAGAAATTTTTCGTGGATTTTTACCATTAGGTTGGCCAGGCAGAATATGCGGATCCGGGAATAGCAAAATTCTCCATAAATTTTGCATATATGCAGTTTTCTTCTGATCTACAGACATGTCAGAGGGGTGGGGGGGAGGCGGGCGGTGGGTAAGGAGGGGGAGAGAGCAATGATGATGGATACTTAAAGCAAAATGACGAAGTACTGAATGTAAGAAGGTTAGGGGGGGGGGCGGTGGAGTTCATAAATGAGGGAGAGGTTATAATAAAAATAGGTCATATTTTCGTTCAGAAAAATAAAAAAATAATCTATTTAATGATGCATTTTCCACAAGTTAACCCCAGCAGCACTTAGACCATCTTTGATAATTAAAAATAGTTCAAAAATTCTTACAGAAAGGAAAGTACAAGATTCTTCCTGTTTTTTTTTACCAAAGACGAGAGAAAAAAAGAATGATTAAATTAATGATTTAATGAATGTTTGTTTTATAAAAATTTCTCTATACCTGGCTGGATCCAGTGGAAAAAATACCGGATTCTTGACTTCCACTGTCAGCTAAAAACTCCCTGCAGAAATGTTAATTATAACGATCACAAAAATACCAGCAACTACAACCAATAACAAAAACTCAAAAGCCATAATAAAAAAATGTTCACAGTAAAATTAACAATATCAATAACCTTTAGAAAGGAAAAAACAACAAAATGCAACAAAAAATTTACATTTATGATAATCTTGTTCCTGTATTTAGGCAAAAAATTTACATTACCCATAACAAAAACACGATCCTTATTTACAGTTAGGTACAGCCTTCTGAGGCTACGATGGGCTAGGGGGCCGAGCGCTGCAGCTATTACTTGTTTTAAAGAAAATATATTACATTATTTAGGGTTAGGTATCTGAGGCGCCGCAGGCTACAATGGGGGCCGAACGATGCGGCTAGGATGGGCTAGGGGGTCGAGCGCTGTGGCTATAATGGGCCAGGGGGTCGAGCGCTGCGGCTTTCACTTGTTTAATATAAAAATCTAGTTATTTATTAGAGGAATTTGTTACTTATGAAAATGTACATTTGGGAAGTTGCCGCTTTTCCTTCAAGAGGACCATTACAGTAACTTAACAAAAAAACTTATTAAATGAAAATACCTGTTGATCATTTTCTCAATAAACGTTCTTTCATCTATATTAAAGGGATCTGCACTGGAACGGTTCATTCTAAACAAACTAAAGGTCATGATTTATGATTATGGCCGGACAACTTTCGTGGAACCATATTTGAAGTCGTGGTCGTCTGCAAAGTCATTATTATGTTCAAGGACTTGCTCAAATTATAGGACATGATTATGTTAGAGGTCATGATCACGATGGAGGTTATGATAATGGCAAAAATCTTGATCATGCGTGAGTTCATGATCAGAGGTCATGATTATGTCAGTGGTCATTATCATGTAGATTTCATGATCATGTTAGAGTTCATGATCAAGTTAGAGCTCATGATAATGTTAGAGTTCACGATCATGTTAGAGTTCATGATCATGTTAGAGTTCATGATCATGTTAGAGTTCATGATCATGTTAGAGTTCATGGTCATGCTAGAGGTGATGATCATGTTATAGGTCATGTTTTCATGTTAGAGGTCATGATCATATAAGGGGTCATGACTACGTTTATTGTTTAATTTATGGTTATTGTTTTCATGTTAGAGACCATGATAATATAAGGTCATAACTACGTTTATTTATTGTTCAAGTTTATGGTTATGATAGAGGTAAGACCTTGATAGAGGTAATGACCATAATAGAGGTAATGACCATGATGGAGGTCATGACCAAGAAATAAAAAAATTTAAAAATGTCACCTTTTAAACTCGAACTCGTTAACGCAATGCTTAATGGCGCTATTGCTTGAGGTGGGCGGGATACTCCTGGATGGGGCGGAGTAGTCCTCCGAGGGTCCTGGGAAGTAGGAGGAGCTGGTATGCAACGCCCTAATAACAAACAAGATCTTTACCTTAGTTTAATAAAATAAAAGTTTTATGAACAATAAATCCTTAATTACTACAATCCCTCCCACTCATTAGCAATTCAAGCATCGTTATAAACCCTTTATAACCCGTAATAAGTGCAAATACAAGCCCCCCACATGTTAAAGGGGATGTTGCCGTAGTTACAAATCACAATGTTCAATGACTTCTTTGCTTCTTTCCTGTTGTCCGTTTAATCATAATTTTCACTTAAAAACAAATCATTTTTGTCACCGAAAACTTTAAATCAGACAAATTCAAATTGGACTATCACTTGAAACTACGTTGACAGTCCCTTTATCATGTAAATAGGCTTCAGGGCCCTTTATTTAGCAACATTATTAGCACGTAAATGTGACTTATCAAGCAGCATTTTTTACATTTTTGCCAGGCAAAAATTTTCACTTTTAAATGTTCATAAACATTCTCTGGGTTCATGTGAGTCGCCACAAAAATGTATGACCAGATCAGTTCATTAGTTTTGATGTTTATTGGATACAGACAGACAGAATTTATATATTAAGATATATTAAATCAGAATTTGTGTAAGGTATAAAGCTAAGTATTAGAGATAAGGTATTATTAGCAGATGTGGGAGGATACGGCTTAATCAGCAAAAAAAACTATTGATCATTACATCATTATTATACACGATAAAATGGTTCATTTCAGGCTCAAACCACCCACATTAAACAACAAATTCTTTATGCAAAGAATCATAAAAAAGATATTTTGAATCGTATAAACAAGATGAAAGAATTTAACACCGAACGAATCTATGATTTATGATTATATCCCATGTTGGTAAAAAAGGAGTTTATGAAGGGCACGGCTAAGCTTTGTCTTTCGTAAGACAATAGCCCAGCTTTTTAAAATGAACTGATTGATGAAAAAGAAGGGGTGGAGTGATTGTATTCAAAATATAAAATAAATGAATGATTACTTATCTATCTTCCGAAAACTGCAAATATTGCAATAATCTGAGATGATTGAGATATGATCAAAATAATTTTTCTTTTTTTTTCACAAATGTTAAAAGATTTTGGTGAGATACATTTTTTTCCCCTCCTAGCTATAAATAGATCAAATAAAATGAAGGAATGAAAGTAAAAGAATAAAAGATAAGAATAAATCATGAAATCAGCTGTAGAGCTGTAGATCAAATAACTAAGAAACCAAGTTATCTGTCTCTCCACCGCTTAAAGGGACTGTCAAAGTAATTTTCTTATCAAATCAAACAAATTATTTCCGGTTTACATGAGAACAGTGCCCTTTAAATGCTCGTCTGAGCAAATATGACGAAAATATTATTGTTAGTATTACAGAAAAAAAGACTCCCTGATTTCTGCAGCAGAGACAAAGAAAGAAATCATCAGAATTCGACACTTAGCGATTCGGGGAGCAAATTTTTATTTGAGAGTTTGTTGAAATTAGGTTTACAGTCCCTTTAAATATATAATTTTGAAAATATGGAATTTAGGTTTACAGCCCCTTTAAAAATTTAATATTTTAAATGTAGAAATTAGGTTTACAGTTCGTTTAAATATCTAATTTTGTAAATATAGAAATAAAGTTTACAATTCTTTAAAATATATAATTTTGTAAATATGGAAATTAGGTTTACAGTCCCTTTAAATATCTAATTTTGTAAATGTGGAAATTAGGTTTACAGTCCCTTTAAATATCTTATTTTTTTTAAATAGGAAAATTAGGTTTACAGTCCCTTTAAATATATAATTTAGTAAATGTGGAAATTAGGTTTACAGTCCCTTTAAATATCTAATTTTGTAAATGTAAAATTAGGTTTACAGTCCCTTTAAATATATAATTTTGTAAATGTGGAAATTAGGTTTATAGTTCCTTTAAATATGTTATTTTGTAAATGTTGAAATTAGGTTTACAGTTCCTTTAAATATCTTATTTTGTAAATGTGGAAATTAGGTTTACAGTTCCTTTAAATATCTAATTTTGTAAATGTGGAAATTAGGTTTACAGTCCCTTTAAATATCTAATTTTGTAAATGTGGAAATTAGTTTTACAGTTCCTTTAAATATCTAATTTTGAAAATGTTGAAATTTGGTTTACAGTCCCTTTAAATATCTAATTTTGTAAATATGGAAAATAGGTTTACAGTCCCTTTAAATATCTTATTTTGTAAATATGGAAATAAGGTTTACAGTCCCTTTAAATATCTTATTTTGTAAATATGGAAATTAGGTTTGCAGTCCTTTTAAATATATAATTTTGTAAATGTAAGAATTAGGTTTACAGTCCCTTTAAATATCTAATTTTGTAAATGTGGAAATTAGGTTTACAGTCCCTTTAAATATCTTATTTTGTAAATGTGAAATTAGGTTTACAGTCCCTTTAAATATATAATTTTGTAAATGTAAGAATTAGGTTTACAGTCCCTTTAAATATCTAATTTTGTAAATGTGGAATTTAGGTTTACAGTCCCTTTAAATATCTTATTTTGTTAATGTGGAAATGCAGTTTTCAGAAGCTTCACCCGCCCACACACCTCTAAATTTGATTAAGGATTCGCATTAAAATCCAGAGAGCAATAAAACTGCATTTAAAGGGACAATTCAGAGAATTTTGAAACTCGTATAAATTATCTCATCATGAGAATACCAGCTTTGGAGTTTGGACTGAATTTACGCAATAGTAGAAGATGTAACTGTGTTTGACAGTGATAACTTAAAATTTACACAGAATTCAGATGGTATCTTAAAACCTCAAATTGAGTTTTTTTTTTTAACAAAGAGATTAAAAAAATATTTGGTTTCATAGAAAATACAATTAAAAGAAACACTTTGTAATTAGTGATTGTATCTTGATTGTCAATTAAGAATAATTTGCAAAGTGACCCTTTATTCTAATTAAAGTGTGTGTGGGGGGGGGGTGTCTTCCATATCGCAGGAACGCCTTTTTTAAAGACAATTATAGGCTGCATACTGTTAAGTTTAATGCCACGGGTAGGGTTTAACTAACGAACAGATAAATGCCAGAAACTAAAAAATAAGCACTGACAGAAATATACATAAAGACACGCCCTGCATTTTCATGTCATATTTATGCCGGCATTCTTTGGGTTGAAAATACATGTGGCATATTTTGGAGTGGATAGATAAAGGTGTGAAATGCATGTGTATGTAAAATGTGTATGTACGTGTCAAATTAAAGAATGCTTTAAGCAAGTGTCATCTAAATTTAAAGGAACATTTTTATCGTCATTAATTGTGCAGTCAAAATTTCTAAAAGCATGAAGCTATGAAATGCATGTGTATATGTTTGATTGCATGTTGACATTTAAATGCAAAAAACTTAAATTTAAGAAATATGTTCTTCATCATTAATTGTATAATAAAATAATAACATATTTAAATTTTTTTTTAAATATTAACAAAAGATTCAATTTATTGTTATTGATAATTGATTTTCTAAAAAACCCGAATAGCAGTCAAATATAATAGATTTTAAACAATAAAAAATGCGGTTTTAATGACTTAAAAATTGATTTTTTAAGAAAAGTCCTTGAGTGTCAACAACTAAGTGGGACTTTACTATATAATGCATAAATGCGCGCGTTAAAGTGAAAAAGTCCATATTTAGTATTTAGGCATGTTGTTCAGTTTGGACTATACGATATATAGATAAGCATGTACGGGGAAGAAAAGATTAGAAACGATCAAGTGTTAATGTGCCACCCCTTCTAACCCCCTCCCCACCACTCTTTTCAGTCAGCNACCCAGACCCTTGAAACTTAAATCAAGAATACTGTAACCCATGAAATCCCCCAAACTGGTTCAGCTTTATAAATAAATCCTTAGCTGGAGCCCTTCAGGCTTCAAACAAACCCCCAAAGAGATGCTATTTTTATAATTTCTAAATGTTGAACAATTAAAAAGTGTTGTTTAATAGTGTACGTATTTAGTTTATGATTACCTTATGTACGGTTGTACAGTACTTCGAGGCCGGCAGTTAGGGTCATCATGTACAGTGCTGTGAGGCCGGAAGGCCGGGTCGGAAAGTTTCCCGGATTTTCTCTCCGACTGACCGGCAGATTGTCTATTCGGCTGCTGGGAGTGTGACCGATTATGGTTTCGACGCCTGGACGGAAAAATGTTTCAGAAACAACTCATTTTGTTCTTAAACTAAATAGTTTATAAACAAATATTATTTTTCGCAATATTAAATATTAAAAACCACAAAAAACTGAAGAATAATGTTTACTGAACCTGTGAAAATCTAACACTGTAAATTTAGCACAAACACTATGGATGATTAAAACAAATAAAAATGGGAACAGGGATATACACTATAAACAGTAGAATTTATGAAAAAGAAATTTTTATAAAGATAAACTTGAAGTTTAACATGAGCATGTGGCGCTGAATTTGTTTTGAAAACAAAACTGAAGCAAATATTCTAGATATATTCGCCCTGTTTTTGCGCTTATCTCGAATGCAAAAACAGGTTTTCTCATCACAAGTACTTTTTACCGACAGTAGACAAGAAGATGTGCTGGGAAATTATCAATTTAGGGCCAGCCTACCCAACCCAACCCTAATCAACCACCCCATACTCTTCAATTCAACCTACCAAACCCAACCCTTCAATTCAGCCTATCCTTATTTTCCCATCTATATCCTAGTATTCAAATCTATATCCTAGTATTCAAATCTATATCCTCGCATTTCCATCTCTTATCTTGTATTCCCATCACTAATCTTGTATCCCTTCTCTAATCCTCGTATTCCCATGTATATCTTGTATTCCCATCTATATTTTGTTTTCCCATCTCTATCCTTGTATTTCCATTTATATCTAGAATTCCCATCAATATCCATCAATTCCCATCTGTATATTGTATTCCAAACTATATCCTTGAAATCCCATCACTATTCTTGTATTACCATTTTGATCCTTGTATTCCCATCTGAATATTATATATTCCCATCTCTAATCTTGTATTCCCATCTCTAATCTTGTATTCCCATCGCTAATCTTGTATTTCCATCTCTAATCTTGTATTCCCATCTCTAATCTTGTATTCCCATCTTTATCCTTGTATTTCCATTTATATCTTGTATTCCCATCTCTAATCTTGTATTCCCATCTCTAATCTTGTATTCCCTTCTCTAATCTTGTATTCCCTTCTCTAATCTTGTATTCCCTTCTCTAATCTCGTATTCCCATCTCTAATCTCGTATTCCCATCTCTAATCTTGTATTCCCATCTCTAATTTTGTATTCCCATCTCTAATCTTGTATTCCCATCTCTAATCTCGTATTCCCATCCCTAATCTTGTATTCCAATCTCTAATTTTGTATTCCCATCTCTAACTTGTATTCCCATCTATATTTTGTTTTCCCATCTCTATCATTGTATTTCCATTTATATCTAGAATTTCCATCAATATCAATCAATTCCCAACTGTACCCAGTAATTCCCACCTACATATTGTATTCCAAACTATATCCTTGAAATCCTTGTATTCCCATCTGAATATTATATATTCCCATATCTTTTATTATTAAGCATTCCGAGTCGATCTCCTCCGATTCCCTTTCATAACATCGCATTCCCATAGTATCCCTCGTATTTGCCTAAACATTATCAAATGCTATGGATCCATAACAAAAAAGGTTCATAGAAATTGCTCTCATTCACATTTCAAATCATTATAAATAGATCCAAAATTTAAAACACAACGACTTATGCAAACCCATTTTCATAAAAGACAAAATTCCAAAATAAAACTAAAATTACTTTTCCCTTACCCTACCCCCCCCCCCCTTTGAACTTATTCGGCTTTGACATTTTATATTCATATCAATAAATATTAATAAGGGGGAGGGGGGGTATTAAAGAACAATTTTTATTGAAGTATTTTACACTTTTTAAGAGCATTTTATTTAAAATTAAGAAGGTTGAATGAAACTTAACTTGCATGGGGGAAAGTAATTGTTTTTGATGGAAGAAAATGCTTAAATTCTTTTATGAAAACGATATTTGTCAAAGGATTTTTTTTTTCATTTTCAAATATTAATTGTAATTTTCGAAACATTTCGTTCCTAACGTCTTGGTGAACATTTTGTGAGGATTCGGCGACATTTAACGAACTCTCATTAATATTAAACGAACGTTCGTTAATATTAAACGCACTGGACGAAACCGCTCTTGATGACTGCAGATTTCGCCTTGGTACATCACGAACCATCACTTTTGCAGGACTAGGGATGAAAAGATGATCTAGAGAGGCGGGCTGTTGGAGGCCCGCCCCCACTCTCAACTCATGCAACATGGGCACACCGTTTGGAAAGGTTATGTAATCAAAATCACTTCGGTTATTCACAGTTTCTTGAACTTCAACTTTTTTGTTGGCAAAAAAAGAAAAGTCACCACTATGCCGGTTTTTCTTTCGAGTTTGACCTTCCTCCTTCTTTCTTCTGAGTTTAACTGAAGAGGTGGCCTTATCCCCCCTCACGAAGTTCTGATTAGAGGGGGTGTTGTGTCCCCCTGGGTTAGTAAGCAGAAGCGCTGAAGAAACCGGCATTCTCACTCCATGGTATCTTACACTGAACTGAACGAACCAGGGTTGCCAGATTTTTTTTTCAGAAAAGAGCCACTTTGGACTTAAAAAAGAGCCAATGGAGCCATTTATTTTTTTTTAAAAAGCCACAATTAAGCCACATTTTAAAGCCATAAAAAGAGATGTCTGATGTTTTGATAGTATTTGTTTTCCTTATTTAAATTAAGTCAGAACTGTAAGTTGAACATGTTCATCATCTCTGAATCAAAAATCAGGATNAATTTACATAAGAAACTCCATTTTCTTGTTTCTAGTTTACATTTTCTTGTTTCTAATTTACATTTTCTTGTTTCTAATTTACATTTTCTTGTTTCTAATTTACATTTTCTTGTTTCTAATTTACATTTTCTTGTTTCTAGTTTACATTTTCTTGTTTCTAATTTACATTTTCTTGTTTCTAATTTACATTTTCATGTTTCTAATTTACATTTTCTTGTTTCTAGTTTACATTTTCTTGTTTCTAATTTACTTTTTCTTGTTTCTAATCTACATTTTCTTGTTTCTAATTTACTTTTTCTTGTTTCTAATTTACATTTTCTTGTTTCTAATTTACTTTTTCTTGTTTCTAATTTACATTTTCTTGTTTCTAATTTACAGTTTCTTGTTTCTAATTTACTTTTTTTTGTTTCTAATTTCGTACAATTTTATCCAATATTTTGAACAAAAAACAATCGAATCTAGCACTAACATTTGTTGGTTTAAAGTACAAGGTGTCACATGAAACATAACAGTTGGTGAATAGTTTGAAATGTCTTCTTTCATGATTTTTAAGTTGTTTGATACTAAAGAGACCAATAAAAAATAGTATATGACAGTCGTATTTTAGTAAAATTGATTTCAAAGTGAAATATATTTTAGTAAAAGACTTTTTAATTAAATAAACTGCACAAAAAATCTTCAATATTTAATACAGTATATGGAAGAAGACATTCAAAACTATTCACCACCTGTAATGTTTCCTGGGACACCCTGTAGGTTACCACACACGAAAATTGGCCTGATCGGCTCAGCCATTTTGAAATTTGTTGGACACAACCAAAAGTACAGACAATAATTCTCTATCGTTTTCTACAGGGTTTCCCAATAAACATGGGAATTCAGTGACGATTTTGATATCGTCTTTGTAAATAATTTTTTGATTTAGTATGGTGATGCCCACTAGGAAAGCTATAATCCGTCTGCTAGAGTTCAAAATATGTTTGTTTATGTTTTTATTGCATACTGTGTTGTTTTAAACACAGTACAGTTGTTTCTCTTTGCTGATTATCGTGCAGAAATGTTACAGAACATCATACAACAAGCAGATTTACAAAAGATTTATACCGTTTAACTAAAATATACTCTAACGCTAACTCTTTACAAAGACGGTTTCGAATTTGTCTCTTAACTCCCATGTTTATTGGGACACCCTGTAATTGATTTGGGCAAGTTATGAATCTATATGAATAAAATAATTGAAACCTATATATACAATTCTGCTATTATTCATAAAAAGAATTTTGTTATTTAAATTCTCTAGACAATCTTTGACCCCATACATATAAAGTATAGTTTTAAAGCTATTTAGAGATATGTTTATTCTTCATAATCTGATTAGGGTTTTTTCGGTTTTAGTCTCACGAATAAGATTTTAGGTTGATAACCTTCAACAGTTTTGTAAGATTAACTTCATGATCTTGCTTCAAATTGAAAGTTAGACTGGCGTGCAGTTGATTTTAAACTTATGCATTTGTAAACATTTCAGATGGTTCGTTGCGCTTTCTCTTTATACAACTAAATATTTAAATATTTAAATATTTAAATGAATGTTTTTGATTTAAATAAGAATTTCCATAGTTTAGATGATAAACTTCGTGGCTTAGATGATAAGCGTCGTGGTTTTGATGATAAATTTTAAGATTTAGATAATAAATTGCAAGGGTTTGATGATAAACTCCATGATAATATAGAATATAGACAATAAACATGGATTAAATGATAAACTTCATGGTTTAGATGATAAACTTTATGATTAAGGTGATAAACTTCATGATTAAGATGATAAACTTTATGATTAAGATGATAAACTCCATGATAATATTGAATATAGATAATAAACATGGTTTAAATGATAAACTTCATGATTAAGATGATAAACTTCCTGATTAAGATGATAAACTCCATGATGATATATAATATAGAATATAAGCATGGATTAAATGATAAACTTCATGGTTTAGATAAAAATGCCAAGCTTTAGTTGATAAACTCCTTAGTTTAGATGCTTAACTCTGTGAAATTTAGATGTCCTGTGGTTTAGATGATAAACTTCATGGTTTAGATGAAAAAAACTCCAAAGTTTAGATGATAAATTTCATGGTTTAAATGAAAAAAACTCCAAGGTTTAGATGATAAATTTCATGGATCTATAGATGAAAAATTTCCATGGTTTAGATTATTAACTTCATGGGTAAGATGAAAAACTCCAAGTTTTAATTGATAAACTTAAAGGTTTCGATAATGAACTTCATGGCTTAGATGATAAACTTCATGATTTAGATAATTAACTTCAAGGTTCAGATGATAAGCTTCGTTTTGATGATAAACTTCATGGTCTAGATGATAAACTCCAAGATTTAGATAATACTCCAAGGTTAGATGATTAACTACATAATTTACATAAGAAACTCCAAGGTTTAGATGATAAACTTCATGGTTTAGATGATAAACTTCAAGGTTTAGATGATAAGCTTCGTTTTGATAATAAACTCAAAGATTTAGACAATGAACTCCAAGGTTTAGATAATAATCTCCAAGGTTTAGATAGTAAACTCCAAGGTTTAGATGATTAACTGCATAATTTACATAATAAACACTATGGTTTGGATGATAAACTCCATGGTTTGGATGATAAACTTCATGATTTAGATGATAAACTTCAAGGTCTAGATGATAAGCTTCATTTTAATAATAAACTTTAAGGTTTAGATTATAAACACCGTTGTTTATAGATGATTAATTCCAAGGTTTAGATGATAAACTTCAAGGTTTAGGTAATAAAATTCATGGTTTAGATGATAAACTTCAAGGTTTAAATGATAAGCATCGTTTAGATGATAAAATTCATGGTTTAGATGAATGAGAAAAACTCCAAACTTTAGAAGATAAACTCCAAGGTTTAGTTGATAAACTCCAAGGTTTAGTTGATAAACTCCAAGGTTTAGATGGTAACCTCTATGATGATTTAGATGATAAACCCTATGGTTTAGATGATAAACTTCATGGGATAAATTTTACCCTGCAATATTAGTATAGCCTTCTTATTTATATAAACTTTAAACTGCTTTCAAGCCGTTATCAAGTTATCAAGTTATCACAGCTCAGGTTTTGATATTTTTAAATTTTCACATGATGAATTATATGCATATGAGCAAGATCAAGGAAAATAAAATGAAGAAGTTTTCGATATTTAATAATCTTAAACACCATTAGAATTGAAAATAAATACGAAAAGCTTGTTTCGTGAATATTTAAGCTTGCTATTCATATTGACTCTCCTGTTTTTATATATTCCTTGGCATCTGGGTCTCCATGGGAACCCTACAACAGGGAACTATTTCTCATAGATATATATCTATTTCCCTATCCATGATACCATCTATCTATTTATCTATCTATCTTGATTTAAAAGCCTTTTGAAATTAATTGCGAAACCTTTTTAAACAGATTTTTGAATAAATGAATTTAATTTTTGCCATAAACTCTAATATCTGTGCAACCTGATGGTGTAAACCTTCGATATTTCAAACTTAGATTATTTGATCTAATAACAGAAATCACAGTTTGAAATATCAAAGGTCTACGACATTGGCTTGAAAAGATAAAGGGATTAGAAAATTAAAGTGTGATGTGACAAAACCTAATTCCTTTTTATTCTTTATCCAGTTAAGAAAGGTTCCTTAAATTCCTAAAGTTTTTAATGGTTTATCATTTTTAATAGCTTCAGGAAAGGGTCCCTAAGGTCCTTACGGATTCAAACTGATTCGGAAAAAATAGGAAATTCGAATTCACATCTTTATAATTGTTTTTATAAAAAAATAAACACCTTAAATTGTGTATTTAAAAGTTAAAACCAAGTTAAGATTAGAAAGCTGAAAATTTTTGAATTCATCGTAGTAATCGCTGTTTGTCCATGTCTCTCACGCACCTCTGACCCTTTAGTAAAAGTAAATTCAACCTATATGCAACATAAAGTCTGACTGCGTCAACCCTGTTGCACCGGCTAGTTCTATCCTTAGAGCTAGGTACGGTACAAACTCAGACCGGAAAGGTTGACCCGGCTCGGAAATTCAAATGTACTACGGCTGCCCGTGCTCTGTCTGTCTGTGTGTATGTTCGATAAAACTCATGAACCCGGCCCTTGATCGATTTGCCCTAAATGTTTATCGAGGAACTCGGGAGAACCACGGGAATGTTCTTAGTTTTATTAAACAATTCCAAGTTGAGTGCATTAACTGTAAATAAAAATGTCGGTTTCCAAACAAAGTCTGGAAATAGAGTCAACAGCCTTTTTGAAAAGATTGTATACTAAAACGTATTAAGTTACTTCATACAAAGTTTCTAATGTCTAATTTTGTAAGAAAAAAAAATTCTGGATTTTTTTCGAATGGAAAAAAAGTTGTCCATATTTTTCGTTATTTATAATTGTTTTTGATATTTTAGTTAAATTTTTTTCAATTTGACATACGTTTTATGACCTTCCCAGCGGTTTACAATTTAAATTTATGCAAAGGTAACAAACAAATTTTAATTATCTTCTCTTTGGTCAAAACTTTTTAAGGTGATGATTTGAAAAATTGAATCTGTAAGGCGTGCAAATTGGAATAAGGCCACCAATTGACTGCAGGCGTCTATGTTCATAAGTCTTAAAAGCTCCAAAATCGTTTAATTCTTAATTAGGATGGTATCAACTATAAGTTCTGCAATTGCACATTTTTTATATCGATAATAGTAATTTAAATTAATATTTCATGCGTTTTTAAACAAATTTCCAAACGTTTAAATTAAAGTTTATGAAAAACTGTTAACTTTTCAAATATTGAACTGAGAAATAATTTGTTGACAATCTTATCAGATTATCCATCTACCTATCTATCAGATTAATAAATATT